ACACCTACTAAACCAACCCCTTTCACATCACGCCTACACTACATCCAAAGAGCGACCCACCGGACAAAGAAAACTACCTCAACTAAAGTCAACAAGCAAGCAGAAGACATAGAACAGTTGTTAGAGGAACCGTCTCGATTACCCGACGACAAATCCAGAGATGAGGAACCGCTGGATCTAGCACCATCAGGCCGGAAACGCGGCAGGAAACCAAATCCCATTCATCCAGCCATCACACCCGGCTCCTCCAAACACCATGACCTAGCCAGCTTCATGGCCTACGCTGAGCGCCAAGGTTTGCCTCGATCCACCAATGTCTTCGTTGGCATCCACTACGAGTACACCGTCGCTGCAGTACTGCAAAACTTCGGCTTCGCCCTAACCCGTACCGGACGGGCCTCCGACCTAGGCATCGACCTGCTGGGCCATTGGACGCTACCCGGTGCGCCTGGCGAGATGCGCGTGCTTGTGCAGTGCAAAGCAGAGAAACCGCGTCCGACCTTCGTCCGGGAGCTGGAAGGCGCGTACGTGGGTGCGCCTGCGGGATGGAGAAGTGGAGGCGTGCTGGCCCTGTTGGTTGCCAAAGAGGAGGCGACGAAGGGGATTAGAGACGCGATTACGAGAAGCAAATTGCCGATGGGGTTCTTGAACATTACGGAGGATGGTCGGATCAGGCAGTTTCTCTGGAACCAGAGCGCGGCCGAGTGGGGGCTTGAGGGAGTTGGTGTTGCGTTGAGGCACAGTTTGGTGAAGAATGAAGACGGGAATAAGGTAGAGGTTGAGGAGGAAATTACGCTCACGTGGAAGGGCAGGCCTTGGACTGCTGGGCGGAAGACCAGGAGGAAGAAGACCGTTAAGATGAGTCACTCAGTCTAGTTGTTGAGATGTGGGCGAAGACGGGACAAAGCTGGTGGGAGCACAGAAGCCTAGCCTTGTGTCTACGTGACTGGTCTTTTATCTCAAAGACGAGACATCCCATGCACACTTCAGAGCGTGCCGGCACCCAAAAAGGTCAGGACAAGTTGCAAACCGACTCTACTACAAGCTGAGCGCATACAGCCAAACCGGCGAATGAGCGAGTTTGAATCCGATTACCACATTCGGGCTTCATCAGCTACTGCAGGGGTGGACCACTTCTACTCTCCGCACTCAACAACACCACAACCCGAATAACTTCCGAAGGATATTTGTCCTTTCTTCACAGAACGTTAACTTCGCCGTGCCTTCAAAACATCCCTTTCTCGCCCTATATCCGCTAGCGTCCCTAACCGCTCCAGCACATCCTGTGTATCAATGATTATGTGGAGTCCATGGAACTGCGCGGTGGAAAAGAGAGCGCACCCAATCCCAAAGGAAGCTCCGGAGGTAGCCGAGCCCTGCGTTCAGGCACAGCAGAATTGATATGGAGGACAACATGACGAATAGCAGAAGACAGGCGTGCGCCCGTCTCAAGTCTCGGTTCTCCGCGCGGAGCTCATCAGCGACAGTCTTCTGCCGGCGAAGCTCGGTGTAAAGACGGTCGTTGACCGCCTGTGTGCGGTTCTCTCCACCATGATCGGTCATAGCAAGGACTTCCTGCGACGAGTGGCGTCGGAGCCCTCCAGTGTGACGTTGTGCCGCAGAGAAACGCGCTGCCACCATGCTGTGGCGTTTGGTTCTGGCGGCCTCGCTCGTTGATAGATGAAGCTCAACCAGATTGTCGGGCAGTCCGGAATAAACGCGAGCACTGCGATCCAGATACGTCCAGTGGTCGGCGATCAATCTTTTCTGCAACTTGTGGTCGTGACAAGTGTATTTGTCGGCGATCTTATCAAGGAGTTCTCTGCGGTCCTCTGGGGCTCTCTTCGATGGAAGCTGGCCGATCAATGATCTTATCGCTTGCCGTTTGTTCTTGCCGATCCGGTGCTGACACCGGGCTTTCACTGGACATGTGGTATAACCAGCACATCTGAGTTCTTGGTTGTGCTTCAGCTCAGTGAGTGGTGGGAAGTTGTAGGTCGTGTCGACACCCATGGCTGTTATGAGAGTGTCGGTAGTCCGGAGACCTAGGGTGGAGGTGGAGTGTTTCTCCCTGGACAAGTGGAGTGCTGGGGATGACGGGTATCGGACAATCTGCTCTGAAGAAGATGATAGGACTGCTGAGGAAGCAAACTTGTTCTAGTGCTTATGAGAAGAAGGAGCAGTGATGAGGACTAGATATAGCAGTTGGAAGTAAGCGCATTGTTTCCTTCCAGCACAACCTAAGACAAGCATACACCTACTCCAGAGTCACAGTTCACAAAGGCTACATGGTGCATACGGACGTGTCATGAGACGTCAACGAATGAGACAGCAGGAGAGACCTGCATAGCGGACATGATCCGTTCATCTCTCATACCATGAAGAGATGAGGGCCATCCCGTTATCCAGGTCTCTCCATTGTTCCGACATGCCTCCTGAACTACAACTCCAATCCCTGTATCCACTATCTCAGCACTTTCGGAGAACGTAGTGGTCTTGATGTCCGACGAAGATGGCGTGGTGACATTCTTAGCCTTGGTAGGAGATGGTGCAGTGGCGGTTCAATTCATGACTACTTCGCCCGCATACTCCACCAGACCTTGTGCCTGATCTCGATGACTGTAGCAAAGAGCCAATTCGGCGGGTTCCTCAGGGTATTTTCACGCTCTTCGGCCGATTCAGCTAAGGAGAGTTGGTCAAAGACATCGTCAAAATCGCTCGTCCTCTCTTCACCAAGTTGGCGCAGGCCAGTACGAAATGCTGAGCAGAATTGTAGACAACGTGATGCAAGATTTACTATGATGTTCTCCTCAAACTCGGCTCTGTGCTATTTCAGTTTGTTACTGTCACGTCTAAGTGCATCTTCGTGCTTTTACGACTCAGCCTCGTACCATACCCGTCCATCCAGTTCCTCTTCGGAGGTTCACAGCTCACTTCGGGAGTGCAAACAGCATCGTGATAGCATGGCTCTTAACGCTTGGGCTCATAGTGGAAAGCCCATGGACTAGGATCACATCTTGGAAGACCTACTAGGATCTCGTCTCGACGTACGCATTGCTTCTGCAAGTTGTTTGTTCAAAGGAGGAGTTGCGGTGTGGGAGGAGGGAGAGGTGTGGTCGTTGCCAAGGCCAGGAGCTCAACTACGGTGGACCAAACACCAACTGCTTCCCCTGTGTCGCGCATCGAACACCTGGAGCTTACGAAGACGTGATCTTGGATACACCACAACTATCTCAATCAAGATGGCGAACAGAGGATACGATGTGGTAGTGGACGTCGATGACGAGGTGCGCTGCTGGTCCAGCTCTGGATATGCCCGAATGTTGCTGATCGGATACAGGGCGACTTGGGGCATACAGATCTCCAAGAGGACCTAGAATTCCACTCTTCCAGTAAGGCAGGCGGATGTCCAGAACGGTGCGCATCGCTAAACATACCGGGCAGACTTCGAGAACCCACAGCCTGCGCGCGGAAAGATCCCTGCGGATACCTCTTCTTCTTTCCTCCCCACTAACTCACGGCCTTCCTCATCCTCGAAGCGCTACCTCTGGACGATATCCTTCTACCAGCAATTCTTCGATGTCGATACAAACGAAGTTTTGAAGCGATGTGCCGCTGCGATATTTCCTCGCGCCAACTTCCTTGACGTGCTGGAAGGCAACCCTGACCTCTACGGTCCCTTCTGGATCGCAACAACGGTGGTAGTGATATTGTTCCTTACTGGTACGATCAGCTCGTATTTGGCGTTCACTGGCAAGGGACACTATGCATACGACTTCAGGCTTCTGAGCGGTGGGTGACTGGAAAGATTATACGGAGGCAGAACATTCGACTGACACACGACACAGGGGCCGCTGGTCTGATCTATGGTTACACTGGAATCATTCCAATCGCCCTCTGGGGAATCTTGAAGTGGTTTGGCAGCGAGTCTGCCAATGTGATGGAGTGTCTTGCATTATACGGCTACGCCAACCTTATCTGGATTCCGGTTGCGCTGGTATCTTGGTCTCCACTGACAGGTCGGTGGTGTTGTAACTCCCGTCGCTGTCCTGCTACTGACAAAATGCAGCACTTAACTACGCCTTCGTTGGTGTTGGATTCGCGGTCTCGGCTGTGTTCCTCTTCCGCAACCTGTATCCCGTCCTCAGCGCTACGGATGTGAAAACATCCAAAATCCTCCTGATCGTAGTCATTGCTCTTCACGCTGGCTTGGCTATCGCGATCAAGATCCTCTTCTTTGCGTAAGTGTATCAATCGTTGGGCAGAGCTTTCACTGATCATGGATCCCAGACACGGCAGTCCCGCTGCCAAGAAGGGCACAACCGTCGAAGCAGGTGAAGGCAAGGAGGGCGCTGCTCTCCTGTTCGGACTCTAGCTGATACCTTGTTCGAGTTTTTGTAGAACAGTCACACTGCCTCGCGGCCTTCAATGACCGGTAATGAGATACCCTAAATTGAAGCGTTGCGTTAGTGAGCTAAAATTAGCTGAACCTCTAACGTTCAGGTGAAAAAATTCAATTTCAACAAAAGAGACTCAACGTGGGAGTGACTTTCCAGATTCTTTGCTCTGCTGGGCTGTTCTCTTGTCTCAACGATGCCTGACGAGCAACTGCAACGTCTTGGTTGAGCCCTCAGCTCATGTGAACCTTGACTTTGGTCGTCCGACAAGAAACTGGCGACAAGATAACTGAGCTTCCCTTCGAAGAGCAGCTGGAGCTGATTCGATCAATGGAGGAGACTTACGAACACTCTGCTCATTTCAAGGTATTCGCTCTCGGCCGCTGGGCTGGTGGTTTCACTACGCGGTAGTACTTTACCCTTCTCCATTGAACATGTGGTAGTTTTACTCTCGCTTTGCTGCATAGTTGTCCAACTGTGGAAGCACGCAGTGTCTGCGGTTCAACGAACGCTTTCACCGGGCAAAAATGCAACTACCTCCGCGAAAGGATACACTAAGATCATGCATACTCTTCATCAGAGCTCGTGGGCAGCAAAAGAGACTGCATCAGCCGTGAATCGAACACGGGGCTCATCGAGCTTGTACTCTCCAGGTTAGGGAAATGATGGCAACGATGAATTTTACCATTAAACCACTGAAGCTGTTAGAACGCTTGATATCCTAGAAATATATAGAGTCATACTTAATATCTCACCCGTATCCCACGAGCTTCACCCGAGCTTCACTTGGCTTCCTTATAGCTTCACTCCAGGCTCGTTATGGCTTCAGTCTCAGTCATCAATAGAATAGGGTAGTAAAGCAGGTCTTGTATAGATTTTCTCTCATCGCACTGATCTAGGCAGCGCGGTGAGAGCCATAGCGTGCAGTGATATATCTCTTTCGCAACTATTTCTGCGTAGGCGTCTACTTCATGAACGACAGTGACTATGACTCGTGTGTTCCCCAGGTATCACGAATCTTTGTTCGAGTTCAGTTTGTGTGTTTGACGATGCCAAGCCAAAGCGGCACAGCTTGCGACGTCAATGTAGGAACCCCACCATGGATTTCTACCGACAACCTCTATGCTGCGCCGCGTTCCTCGTGACAAGTTAACCAAAGAGTCAGTCAGAGACGTTGTTCCCATTTGCCAGCGAACTGGGTTCTCTCGAGCATGCAAAATTCTCTGCCCCGCTGAGTCAGAAAGACAACCGCGCCACTACAACAGATCCGGCCCGTACTCAAGTCGGACACCTAACTCCTAGGCTACTTTCCAGCGCTTTGACACCTTTTACACCCCTACTCTTACAGTCGACACAACCGGCAAAATGGCGCCAAAGAAGAAGGGAAACAGAAAGCAGGATGACGACTGGGAGGCCGAACTCGGCGAGACCATCGATCCCATAAAGCAGGCCGAGGAGCAGGCCAAGGAAGAGGAGGCCGCCAAAGATGCGGAAGAAGAGCCAGCCCAGGGTGGCGGTTTGATGGCCCAACTCAGGAAGAGGAAGGAAAAGAAGGGCAAGAAGGGCAAGCCGGTCAACGATTTCGTCGAGGGCGAGGATCCTCCAGCAGCGGATGGCGTCGATGGAGATGCGGCGCCTACGGAGGTCGACGTTGCGGCCAAGGCACCCGAGGAAGCCACTATGGATGACGAGGACATCTTTGATCAACCTACGAAGAAGGGCAAAGGTGGCAAGCAGCAACAGAAGCAACAGCCCAAGGAAGAAGAGAAGGACGATGCAGATGGAGCAGATGAGGATGACGAGGATACTAGTGGCAGAGTGTTGACTAAGAAGGAGAAGGAGAAGCTCAAGAAAGAGCGCGAAAAGGCTCGCAAGAAGGAGCAAGTAAGTAGACATCTTGATGTCACGTTTTTCGAGTCTTAAGCTGACAGCGCACAAGGCCGCTGCAAAGAAGAAGACCACACCAGCGCAGACTGCCAAGCCTTCGGAAGCTCCCAAGGCGGTTCAGGAACCTGAACCAGCTGCACCGGCTCCGGTAGAAACAGCTGCCCCAGGCAAGAAGGGAAGGAAACTAAACCCTGCGCTTGCTGCCCTCCAGAAGCAACAGGAAGAGCTCCGGAAACGACAGGAAGAAGCAGCTCGTCTTCAAGAAGAGGAGAAGAAGCGGGCTGAAGAAGAGGAGAGACTTGCTGCAGAGGAGGTCAAGCGGAAAGAAGAAGCCAAGGCCGCTAAGAAGCAGAAGGAAAAGGAGAAGATTGAGCAGCTCAAGAAGGAGGGTAAATACAAGACCAAGGCCCAAAAGGAAGCAGAAGCCAGGCAAAGGCTCGCCTCCAACAGATGCTTGAGAGCGGTGCTGTTGTTGCAGGTATTGGTGGCGACGAAGACCAAAAGAAAAGGCCAAGGACGACCGCCGAAAGAAGGGTCCCAAGAAAGCCGCTGACGAGGCTAGAATGCTTGAGGAGGCCGCTGCTGCTGCTCAGGAAGAAAACCAGAAGAGATTGGAGGAGATGAAGCTTCAAGAAGAGCAAGCCGAGCGTGCTAGAGCAGAGGCTGAGAAAGCCAAGGCGGATGCTGAAGCTAAGAAGGCTGAAGACGAGGACGAGCTGGAGGACTGGGAGGCTGAAGCCGAGAAGGAAGAGACCGGCGGGGTCAAGGACAGCTGGGACGCAGCGTCTGATGATGAGCCAGCAGAAGTTGTCAAGCCTGTGGCCAACGGCAAGCCGGTACAGCCAGGTGCCGAAGGCGCGAAGGCAGATATCATCGAGCCCAAGACCAACGGTAAGAAGTCCGCCCGGGAAGAGTCCGAAAGCGAGTCAGATTCGGATGAGTCTTCTTCTGAAGATGAGCAGACCGCAAGAGCCGCCGCTGCGAAGAAGCAACAGGCTCAGGAGAGGCGGAAGAAGCAGATGGAGGAAGCCAGGGCAAAAGGCTCCAAGGACAATCTGCGTTCTCCTATTTGCTGTATCCTTGGCCACGTCGATACGGGTAAAACCAAGCTATTGGACAAGATTCGACAGACCAACGTGCAAGAGGGCGAAGCTGGTGGTATCACCCAGCAGATTGGTGCTACATACTTCCCCGTGGACGCTTTGCGCCAGAAGACCGCTGTGGTGAATAAGGATGGCAAGTTCGAATTCAAGATTCCCGGTTTGCTGGTGATTGATACTCCGGGTCACGAGTCTTTCTCCAACTTGCGTTCGAGAGGTTCATCTCTCTGTAACATCGCCATTCTGGTTGTCGATATCATGCATGGTCTCGAGCCTCAGACTTTGGAGTCCATGAGATTGCTTCGGGAGCGCAAGACTCCTTTCATTGTGGCCCTGAACAAGATTGACCGTCTTTATGGCTGGAAGAAGATCGACAACAACGGCTTTCAGGACAGTTTGGCCATGCAGAGCAAGGGTGTTCAGAACGAATTCCGCACCCGCCTTGAACACACAAAACTTCTCTTCGCCGAGCAAGGTTTCAACGCCGAGCTCTACTATGAGAACAAGTCCATGGCCCGCAATGTCTCCCTGGTGCCTACCTCAGCACATACCGGCGAAGGTATCCCAGACATGCTCAAGCTGCTCGTTAGCTTGACCCAGGAGAGGATGACTGGCCAGCTCATGTACCTCAGCGAGGTCGAGTGTACCGTGCTGGAAGTCAAGGTTATCGAAGGTCTTGGTACCACTATCGACGTCATCCTGTCCAACGGTGTCCTGAAAGAAGGCGATCGTATAGTATTGTGCGGCACAGACGGGCCGATCATAACAGATATTCGCGCTCTGTTAACCCCGGCCGAAATGAAGGAGTTGCGTGTCAAGTCGCAGTATGTTCACAACAAGGAGGTCAAGGCCGCACTTGGTGTCAAGATCGCTGCCAACGGATTGGAGAACGCGATTGCCGGATCTCGCCTTCTGGTTGTCAAGGATGACGACGACGAGGATGACCTTGCCGACGACGTCATGGGTGATCTTGAGAATCTGCTGAGCAGAATCTCGACCACTGGACGGGGTGTCACTGTTCAAGCGTCTACTCTTGGTTCGCTGGAGGCTCTGTTGGAATTCTTGAAGCAGATGAAGATTCCCGTGTCCAACATCTCCATTGGACCTGTACACAAGCGCGATGTTATCCAAGCCGGCACAATGCTCGAGAAGGCGAAGCAGTACGCCGTCATGCTGTGTTTCGATGTCAAGGTTGACAAGGAAGCACAACAGTATGCCGACGAAGTAGGCGTTAAGATTTTCACTGCTGAAATCATTTACCACTTGTTCGACGACTTTACGAAACACATGGAGCAGCTGACGGCGCAAAAGAAGGAGGAGAGCAAGATGTTGGCGGTCTTCCCCTGCGTACTCAGCCCGATCCAGGTCTTCAACAAGAAGGAGCCCATCGTCGTTGGTGTCGATGTCGTGGATGGCACGCTCAGGGTCAACACTCCGATTGCGGCGGTGCATCACAACACCGTTACCGGGGTCAAGGAAATCATCTCCATGGGCAGAGTGTAAGCTCCCTCCATTTCTTCTGCATATTCACAGTCACAGGAACTAATGTATTTCCAGAACATCCATCGAGCGTGAACACAAGCAAATCCCACTCTGCAAGAAGGGTCAGCCAGCCGTGGCGGTCAAGATCGAAGGAGCCAACCAGCCTATGTACGGCCGTCAACTAGAAGAGAAGGACACCCTCTACTCGCACATCTCCCGTGCCAGTATCGACACCCTCAAGGAGTTCTACAGGGACGAGGTCACCAAGGATGAGTGGAACCTTATCGCGAAGCAGCTGAAGCCGTTGTTCGATGTGTCATAGTCGCGTGCGAGAGATTAGAGGCAGAGGGTAGAGGGAGCGAGGAAAAGAAGTCAATGGTGGAGGGAAGGGGACCGAGATGGTTGCATTGGGTGGTGTCTTCACGCTTGCCTAGTGCACATGGTGTGGTTTGTTTCGGGTGTTATTGGGCGCAAAAACTGTAGATGTCTTGCTTGTCTCTTTTGCATTTGTATTATTCCTATCATACTCCTTTCCTCCCTTGCGAACCGATCATGTCATACTCTATGCGTACTTCATTGGCTAGTCATCCTGGGCAAGCTCGTCGGCAGACAGGTCTCCGGACAGAGCTTGCTGCCAGGACAGATGGGCTTTGCTGTATGCTTTTGTCGAGGCCGAAATGAGCAAGCGTAACGACTTGGTAATGGAAGTACAATCGCGGTGAGCTACTGTTTGACATCCCTCGAGTGGCAGTCTGTACAGTAGCGCAACGAATGTCTCATCTGCTACGAGAACGGTGCCGATTAATTGTCGAATGGCTGGTATGGATCAACGTCCGTGTGCGTGTAAGCCACGTTTCGGGCAGAGTGCCGCGCGTTGCGCGCCCCCATGGGACGAAGTCCGGGGCTGGGGAGTCTGGAACGGGGACAAGGTTGGTTCTTCCAAACCTTTTCTGCGTGCCGGAATAGCTGTATGCGCTTTCCGAACGACCTCCGAGACGTGTGGCAGTTCAGACGCTAGAAACTCTCGGCCCTGGTCAGAGGCCGCCCGTCGAGGTTGCTTGCCAAGTGTATGGACGTCCGGTCGAAGGAGGATCTCGGAGCGAGCTTTCCCCATCTGAAGAACACAGGGCGCTGTTTGACGACGAAGCCAGGGTACAGGTATTTTCTCCCTCCGATCGTTGGTTTACTTTCAGTCTGTCCACAACAACAACAACAACATCACAACATCTTTCT